CTACTGATTCCAGCTAAAGGAACTACTACTTTAGCTCAAGCAATTTGGAGTCTGTGCTTTGATGCTGAGGATCAAACATTCAGTGCCCACTAAAAACTAATGAGGATTGGTTTATACACTGGAAATGTATACCTGAGATGGGATGTTTAGATGTTATCTTAATATATGTTATAGTTTTAATATATTAATATCTTAATATTATGTATTATCTTAATATATTAATATATTGTATATCATTTGTTAATCTTAATATTTCTTCTCTTGAAATCATAGGATTACTAGCCATTAATGAGCCAGCATCTCAAGCTGGTAACTTCTGATTTGCCTTGCATCAGTGGGGGAGCCAAGAAGCTAATTTTCAGAAGTTAACTTTTCTTTGGTATTAGGCCAATCTCAGCTTCTCAATAGTATTATACAGGATAAAAGATGTTTTGCTCTGATATGGCTTATATAAACTATTTAGATTTTTTTAAAGGGGTGTCTATTGTGAGCTCGGGGGAGTTCATATATTGAAAATAATGATTCCTAAAAACAATGAAAATACTACATTGATAGCAGATAGCATCTCAAAACTCAGTTCAGGTTACACAAGGAAACAGGTAAGGCTTACATAACATCTTGAAGTTAGGATACTGACATGAAGGGGAGATGTACAAGTTTTTCACACAAGATCCCCCTCTACAAGAACTGCCCTGCCAGCATTTTCTTTCCAAGCAAAGATGCTCCTTTTCAGTTGTCATCCTGAGCACATATGTAGCACTTCAGCATGGGGAGAGAGAGACTGTCAATAGAAGGAAAGTCTCAAACCTCAATTTCACCTTGGTATCTATAAGCAGGCAATGCAGATCCCAAAGCATAAGAGAGTTGTGATCACTGTGGGAAAAGAAAGAACCTTTGTTCTTCCAAAGCCTAGGCTACTTTTATCTGTTTATTTTGGGATTCTTTGGAATGAGAGTTGCTGTATAAACACAAGGTAATAATTGTTAGGTGTATTTGTCTTATTTTACCAATAATGGAATGTTCAGACACTTTTCCTTTCCCATTCTTGGCCCTGATCCTGCAAAAGGCTGTCAGCCTGCTTAATTCCTGTGTTGATTCCCCTAAAATTGTGTTTTTTGCATGGTTGCAGGATTGGGGCTCTGTCTTGTTCTGGTTATCAGCAAGCTTGTCTTTTTCCTGTATTTCCAAGAGAGCTTGAAATTAACAGTATACTGTATGATCCACCAAAACAAGCACGGAGCTTGAAATTAATGTGGCTTTTATTTGTTGCCTGTCTTGTGTACAGTGATGATCAAAGATTGTTGCAGCTCAGCTGTGGATACATAAGCTACTTAGTTAATTATTGCAGGGCCAGTAGAGGCAAGGAAGGAGTCTAATACTTTGGTTTTGTCTATGTTCTTTAGCTTTTATTTGTTGTTAATTTTCAAAACAGAAGCAGATTGTAGCATTTATGTGAGGCAAATGTTTTAAATTAGGTCTTTGTTTTGGGGGGTGGGGTTAAGAAGTCCAAAATACTAGTTGAAATTCACAAATCAAAACTTATAGTTGTAATCCATTCGTGTCACCCCACACGTCACGGCAGGGATGAAACTTACAATTTTCAATATCAGCAGAGTGTAGCATTTACACTAGTATGGTGCAAGAAATAATCTTTTATCTTCCATGAAGCCAGTCACCAGCAGGAGACACAGCCTAGAACAGGGGTGCCAGAGATGCACCCATGGGCTGAATTTGTGTATCAGAGTACTCCCTTAAAAATGGCAACAGGGGCGCTTGAACTAAAGCTTGTTAAAGCTAAATGCAGTGCCATTTTTAAGCATAGGGATGCTTATACACAGGACGTGGTGGTGCTTTAATTAGAGCGGTTCTTGAAGTTGCTATAATTAAAGTGCCAACCTCCCCACCCCCGGAGCACATGCAAAAATGGCACTGCATGTACCACACAGGGCTGGTTTGGGGTGCATGCTGCAAGTGGTGCCCTGCCAGATCAGCCCTGTGCACTAGCTCTGGGACCAGTCCAGATCAGGTCCATGGACTGGCCCCACATACAAGAGCCTGCTTTCAGGGCCAATCTGGTGTGAGTTACCTCGTGCAGTGTGTGTCCTGGGCACATGGTGTGCAAGGCTGGTTTGGGGTGTGCACTGTATGAGGTGGTCACGCTAGACTGGCCTTGTGTATGCAATGGTTCCAGTGCCTGGGGCCAGTTTGTGGGCCTGATCCAATCTGCAGACTGACCCCATGTCCCCAAGTGTTTGACACCCCTGCCCTAGGGCAGTGTTACTCAATGTAGTAGTAATTCTGCGTTTTGTCCTCCCATCCTAATTTTATCATTTAAAGGATGAAAAACTTAACCTACATGGTCTGTAGAACAGTAGGTTCTACTCTGAGAAGAAGAGTTTCACTCATGTTCTCTTCAGTGATGCAGGAATATGCTTGCTGGACTTGCAAGGGACCATTAATTGGAAGTATGTGGAGTTTCAAGTGGTGACTTTCTAAGATGGAGATATAAAGCAAAGGGGAAATATGGGTGGATCCTTCTGTAACAAATATAGAGGATATGCTACAAAGAAAATAATCCTTAGAAACGTATCAGATTTATTCTGCAGTTTTGGCCATAGATCTTTCTCTTCAAGCTCTTTTATTCGCTATTGATTGCAGAGCCTTATTGATGTGTATAACTACTGTTAATGTTACTGTTTTAGATAAAAACAGTATTCTTAAGGTCACCCACAGAAATGAGTGATTATTGAGGGAAAAAATCCAAGCCGTATGGAGCC